CCACCACCGAGGCCCGGCCGCCGGGCTCCAGCGCCGGCGGCGCCGGCGCGGCGCCGCCTGGCGCGGCCGAGCTCCCCGCTGTGGTGGGAGGCCTCCTCCTCCTCCTCCTCCTCCTCCTCCTCTCCTGCCTCATCATCACACATCATCGAAAGGGTCATCATCGTCATCTGCATCCTTCTCCTCCTCCCTCCTCCTCATCCTTCCTCCGTCCTCCCCCCTTCTCCTCCTCCTCCTAGCTCCTCCTCCTCCCGCCCGGATAGATGCCCAAGGAGTCGTGCGCGAGAGGGCCAGCTCTCCCCCCAGCGCTGGCCGTCTGATGTGGACGGTGGGACGAGGGGGGGGTGGGGAGGTCCTCCCCCTCACCTCCTCCTCCACCTCCTCCTCCTCCGCCTCCTCCGCCTCCGGGCCGCCCCCTCCCCCTCCCTCCCCTCCTCCTCCCCTCCTCCTCCTCCTCACTCCCTCCTCCTTCCCCTCCGCTCCTCCTTCCTCCCCCTCCTCCTCCTCTTTCTCCTCCTCCCTCCTACTCCTCCTCCTCCTCCTCCTCCCTCTTTCTCCTCCTCCTCCTCGCTCCTCCTCCTCCTCCTCCTCCTCCTCCTCCGCCTCCGCCTCCTCCTCCTCCTCCTCCTCCTCCTCCTCCTCCTCCTCCTCCTCCTCCTCCCTCTCTTCCTCCCTCTCTCCTCCCTCTCCTACTTAGGGTAGTTGTGGTGGAAAATCGGCCCATCACGCGAGATGACATAGCGATCTTGCGCGGTGGCTTGCGCGAGCCGCCAGCGCGGCACGCCACGTTGGAAACGAGGGCGCTCTCGCGCGACCTTCCGCGGGCAGCTTGCGCGCGAGAGTCGGCGCAACCGATCCCTTTTCTTCTGCGCCTCGAAGAGCAGCCACGAACGTGTGCACGGCATGTCGCGGCGGCGGCCCAGCGACGCGCTCTGCCACGTTTGGTGCCGTCCCGCTCCGCGGGGCGGGCTGCGAACGACTCGGGGCATGGACGCCTGGGGACCTGGGAAGCGGACAGCGTGCCGCGCCGAGGGCGGTGGGCCGGAACCGGCGGAGCGACTGCCTGTCCGAGCGCTCCCCACCGTGGATGAGCTCGGAGGATCCCGCCGCAGCGCCGAAGCATCGGCGACATCCGCCTGGAGAAGATCGGGCTCGACGTCAATCCGCGTCGCCAACGCATCGGCGATGCGGCGCGATCCTCCGACCACATATGCTCCGACCCCACCTCAGGTGGGAGCCCTCGATGTGGGGAGGGGAGCGAGGAGGGAGGGAGGGTCATCGCGGGCGGAAAAACAAATCCGTATCAGCGCCCACGCGGGCAGATATGGGGCAGCGTTTCACGGATGCCCCACGCGGAACCTATCTGTGCGATCGCTTTTCCGCGGGATCGCGCACCCAAATCCAGACAGCAAAGGAGCGGATACAGATATGCTCGCCGCCTGTGGGATCAGAAGAGAATTATTCCGTCGAAAGACCCAACCACATGCAGTTGTGAATACCGCAATTGTGAATATCTTCTTCGGTGGAGCTCCCTATGGGGCCACGAAGCGCTGTACTGGGTGGGGGGGGGAACGCATGCGGGTGGTAGCACTGGGGCCGTCGGTGGAGCTCCGTATGGGGCCACGGAGCGCTGTACTGGGTGTGGGGGGGGTCGACGCATGCGGGCGGTAGCACTGGGACCTTCAGTGGAGCTCTCTTTCGGGCAACGAAGCGCTGTACTGTGGGGGGGACGCATGCGGCGGTAGCGCTGGTACTTTCGGTGGAGCTCCCTATGGGGCCACGAAGCGCTATACTGGGTGGGGGGGCGCATGCGAGCGGTAGCACTGGGACCTGGTGGAGCTCCCTTGGGGCCACGAAGCGCTCGCTGTACTGGGTGGGGGGGGACGCATGCGGGCGGTAGCACTGGGGCCATCGGTGGAGCTCTCTATGGGGCCACGAAACGCTGTACTGGGGAGGGGGGGGACGCATGCGGGCGGTAGCACTGGGACATTCGGTGGAGCTCCCTATGGGGCCACGAAACGCTGTACTGGGTGGGGGGGACGCATGCGGTTGGTAGCACTGGGACCTTCGGTGGAGCTTCCCATGTGTGTGAGGGGTGTGCTGAAGCGGGAGATGACGATGATGAGAGGAGGAGGGAGGGCGCAGCGGGAGGAGGAGGAACGCGGGGACCGTCTCTTCAAAACGAGGACCCAACACCACAGGATGGTCGGGAAAACATACCGAGACCGCTGCTCGTCCTGGAAAGCCCTCGTCGCCATTGCTGGATTCTCTGCGAACTTCTGGTCAGAGTGCACCCTGGGAGGGGTCTGGGGAGCAGCGGCATTGGTGGTACCCTGTGGCCCCCCTGGAGGGGGGCAGGGAGCGAGGGAGGGAGGAGGCGAAGGGAGGAAGGGAGGAAGGGAGGAGGGCGAGGGAGGGAGGGAGGGAGGGAGGCGGAGGGAGGGAGGGAGGGGAGGGAGGGAGGGAGGGAGGACGAGGGAGGGAGGGATGATACGGAGGGAGGGAGGGGGGAGGACGCGGGATGACGAAGGAGCGGGGGCGCAGATCTGCTGCCACCCCTTCGGATCGAAAGGGCTGCCGCGGAAAGTAGTGGAGGCACTTGAAGGGGGCCCAGGGACACACAGACACACAGACACACAGACACACACACAGACACAGACACAGACACAGACACAGACACAGACACAGACACAGACACACAGACACACAGACACACAGACACACAGACACACAGACACACAGACACAGACACACAGACCCACAGACACACAGAACACACAGACACACAGACACACAGACACACAGACACAGATACAGACACACAGACAGACACAGACACACAGACACACAGACACACAGACACACAGACACACAGACACCAGACACACAGACACACAGACACACAGACACACAGACACACAGACACACAGACACACAGACACACAGACACACAGACACACACACACACACACACTCACACACTCACACACTCACACACTCACACACTCACACACTCACACACTCACACACTCACACACACACAAATCCGTCGATCCGGCGTGTGAGTTTCTGAGAGCGTGGACTTGAGCTCGCTCAAGCTTCGCTCTGCAGGGGGGTGGGGGCGTACGTTATCTCCGACGTCAGTTCCAACGCTTTTCGGTACCCGGGGATATTTCCGACGTCATTTCCGACGTTTTTCGGTACCCGAGAACGGGGGGGTATAGAAAACTCCGCTTCTGGAGCCCCGACCGCCCAAGACAGCCCCAGAGGAAGCCAAGAAAGGCCCCAGAGGCCCCCTAGACAATGCAAGAGGGCCCCGGGATCCTGGGAATCTCGCTCTCACCCCCCCCTGGATCGGCGGCCCTGGCCGAAGACCAGCCCAAGAACGGGATTCCCAATATTTTCCTGTACTCTCTGGGCTTTTGTCTTCCCCCCTCCCCTCCCCTCCCCCACTTCCCATAGTTTCATACATGTTCTGTGGCATCGAGGAGGAATTGTGTCTGTGTGGTGCTCTCCCTCCTGAGCACTTAACTCGGATCTCTGAGTGTTCCTCCGGATTACGCTTTTTTTTGTACACGGGACGTGGCAGCTGCTGCCATCCGCTCGAATATATGCAGGGCTGCCGCGAAAAAGGAATGAAGGCATGCGGGAGAGCAGGCTGTACGTCGCGCAGCATGTGTGTATACTGCAGGTCCGTGCCGTGTCGACCCTGGCGTTGGTTCCTGACACCGCGCTGGATCGTTCAACCTTGAACGATCGGCCGTCACCGCAACGTCCGATCGTTCAACATCGACCGATTCTGGGCCGCCGTCGGCGTTCAACGTTGAATGTCGGCGGCGGGGTCGCCGCCGGTCGACACGACGCGAACCTACCGTATAGATGCTCGACGGCGCGATTGGCTCATGGTGAGTCGCGTTGTGAGACTGATGATTGACATGTGATTGCCAGAGTGCGAGCCGACAATCAGTTCGCTGGATTTGCGAACCAACTGACGCGACTGAACTTGGATGCCTGGGGGAAAAGCACGTCATGAGCCATCCTCCTCGTTCTTCTCCCCGTCGGTCCCTCCTCCTCCTTCTCCACGGCCTTGCCTTTCTCCTCTCCCTTCCCCGTCCAGTGGTGCAGGAAGTTAAAGAACTAGGCGGCCCTTGTCTTTCTTCTCCCCCTCCCCACTCCTCAAAGTATCTAAGGATTGGAAAAACTGGGTGGCCCGCAACTATTTGGAAACTTATGGCTTGGGGCGATGTTAGCCCGAAACCGTTGGAAGACGGGTGGCCCGTAACCAGTTGGAAATCAATCAAGCGCTGTCGCTGCTGACGGACATTTCTAGCGTTGGAAGGCACTGGCGTTTGAAAACAAGCGCATTTGATGATGGGGAGCCGGCCATAATTGAATACTCTAGGGCGTGATGCTGGCGGCCTCGAGGCACATAGCGGTTGGGTAGAACGTGAGTCTGAAATGAGACAGCGCGCCACGCAGTCTGAAGACAAATGTGTCTTGGGGTCTGGGAGGCAACGCACATGTGCAATGATTGCTCTCTGAAGTCTGGGGGTGCAAGGCCGAGTCGAAAACGATGGCGAACCATTCAAAATGACCGCTGCCCCTTCTCCTTTTCCTCCTGGCCACCATCTTCCCCTTCCCGGCCCCCTCTCCTTCCTTCCCGAGATCCGCCTCTACCCCCTGCCCCACCCTACTATCCTCTTCTCCTCACCACCCCCATTCCACTATTGCACAATCTGGAATACTACTATCCTCTCTCCCCTGGCGACGTCTGGGGAATGGCCAGCCCCCCTTCGTGTACTGGCTTTTTACAAATAGGATTTCCTGGAAAACGGTTTTCGTTCGTTTTTGTTTTGTTTTCGAAATGCTGGTATCGCTGAGGCGCTGGCTTCATTTTCGAGCCACCGCTCTTTCTGAATCGTGTTCCCGCTGCAGCGCTGGCCTCAATTCCGCGCTTCCGCTCGTTCCAAATCGTGCTCCCGCTGCGACGCTGGCGTCATTATTTCCAACGCCATGTCACGGTATGGTTTTCGGTTCTTCCAGATAGACCCCAAAATCTAGAAAATGGCCCCCCGAAGAAACCATCGGAAGTGATTCCACATTCGGTGTCGATTCGTTGAGTCTTTGGGTCGCAGAAGCCCCCCCCCCCCACTTTGGGGCGCCGCCACGCCATGCTATGCCATGCTACGCGTTGATCTTCAACACCATGCTAAGCCATGTAATGCTACGCCATGCTACGACATCCGATTGTGCGAATACAGAAAACATCTACGCCATGGTAAGGGATGGGAGGGAGGGGTAGAACGTCAGACATGAGTGGGGGGGACGCATGCTGGCGGTAGCACTGGGGCCGTCGGTGGAGCTCCCTATGGGGCTGTGGGCGGTAGCACTGGGGCCGTCGGTGGAGCTCCCTATGGGGCCACGAAGCGCTGTACTGGGTGGGGGGGGCGCGTGCGGGCGGTAGCACTGGGGCCGTCGGTGGAGCTCCCTATGGGGCTGCGGGCGGTAGCACTGGGGCCGTCGGTGGAGCTCCCTATGGGGCCACGAAGCGCTGTACTGGGGGGGGGGGGGGCGCATGCGGGCGTAGCACTGGGGCCGTCGGTGGAGCTCCCGATGGGGCCACGAAGAGCTGTACTGAGTGGGGGGGACGCATGCGGGCGGTAGCACTGGGGCCGTCGGTGGAGCTCCCTATGGGGCTGTGGGCGGTAACATTGGGGCCGTCGGTGGAGCTCCTTATGGGGCCACGAAGCGCTGTACAGGGCGGGGGGGGGGGGGCGCATGCGGGCGGTAGCAGTGGGGCCGTCGGTGGAGCTCCTTATTGGGCCACGAAGCGCTGTACTGGGTGGGGGGGACGCATGCGGGCGGTAACACTGGGACCCTCGGTGGAGCTTCCTATGGGGACACGTGACGTGTGAGGGGTGTGCTGAAAGGCGTGATGGCGATGATGAGAGGAGGGATGGGGGCAGCGGGGGGAGGAGGAGGAACGCGGGGACCGTCTCTTCACAACGAGGACCCGACACCACAGGATGGCTGGGGAAAACGATGGGCGTTCCAGGCAGGCCACCAAAACAGCTTGCGGGGAGTGGGCGATCCTGGGCCAATCGGCCTCGGCTGGGGGGAGGGCGAGTCCTCGACAGACTGATAACGGCGGTTGTACCGCATAGCATAGAAACATGTCGTCCTTCTCCTCCTCCTCCTCCTGCTGCTTCTCGCCCACCTTCTCCTCTTCCTCCTCCTCCTCCTCTTCTTCTTCTTCTTCTTCTTCCTCTTCATCACCACTAGAATCATCAGCAGCATCGGCATCATCATCACCACCGTAGTCGTCGTCGTCATCATCATCACCACCATCATCATCATCATCATCATCATCATCATCATCATTATCATCATCATCATCAACAACAACAACATCGTCATCATCACCACCATCATCATAACCACCACCACAATCATCATCATCATCATCATCATCATCATCATCATCATCAGCTTCATCATCATCATCATCACCATGACCATAATGATCAGCTTCATCAACATCATCATCACCATCATCATTGTCATTATCACCATCAGCATCATCCTTCTCCCCCTCCTCATCATCATCAGCATCAGCATCATCAGCATCATCATCGGGATCACCATCATCATCGTCATCATCATAATCGCCATTATCATCATAATCATCACCAACGTCAGCATGATCACGGACATGATCATGATCACCATCACTATCACCAATATCGCCATCATCACCACCACCATCATAAGCATAGTCATCATCATCATCATCATCATCATCATCATCGTCACCATTACCATCACCACCATCATCATCATCATCATCATCATCATCATCATCATCATCATCGTCATCATCATCATAATCATCATTATCACCATCACCATCATGGGCCGTCGGCCTGGTAACACTTCACTGGTTGCCGCTCCGCGCTGCAGCAGCCGGGCTAGTGCCAAGCACCTCGGCTCATAAACACTCGCTCGGCTATCATCCCTCTGCCTCTGCTGCTTCTCCAAAACCTCGTCCTTATCAGCATCCAGGCCAACTCTCCCATGTCCTGCCCCGCCTCCTCGCCTTTAGAAGCCGACTCACACAGCGGATGCAGTCTGGCGTTTCCTCCTCTCTCGAGCCTCGATGGGGCAAGCGCGAAGCGCGCCGCGGGTGCTTGCGCCTCCCCATCGCTGCCCGAGCCTGTGTGCGACGTCTGGCCCGTTCCGGAAAACCTGAGCCGCCGAATACCGCCCAATAATCTGAGCACCTCCTGGGGGGGGCGACTCTTACTTCCGCCAACTTTTTTGGTCGGCGGGTCGGGAGCGGGACCCTTCCGGTTAAGAGCTAAGCGGGGCACGCGAAACACTAATTGAGGAGACAAGGCGCGGGCGGGCGGGGCCTCAGGCGGCCGGAGGGTGCGGAGAACAGGTGGTGCCGAAGATCTTACACAGGAGAAGGTACACCATGGACAGGAGCCGGGGGCGAAGTCCCGGAGGGAGAGTGAATTGGTGTTGCCGTCAACGGCGCGCCAGGAACACCATCCTCGAGTGCTTACTTCCGCCAACTTGCGCCAGCGTTCCGCCGCAGGAACGCTCTCGGCTGACTTCCGCGGCTTTCCGCCAGCCTTCCGCCTAGGAGAGGACAGCCGCTCGATCCTCGCAGGTGACGTCCTCGCTGGAACGCCCCATGTCCCAGGGCCCCCAAACCGTGTGGCGACGGACCGCGTGGTGACCTCGGGATGTCCGGCGGTCTCACCACGCAGTCCGTCACCGCACGGTTTTGGGACCCGCGAGGCCCCGGACGCCCGAGACGTCCCTGGGAAACGGCTCAAGCCCCAATGCCGCGTGGCAGCCCCGAAACCCCACTGACTCACCGCGCGGCGTGGTTGGCCACCACACCAATTTTGCGGGCCCCCGACATGTGAGCGACTATCGTAAAAAAACGGGTCTTACGCGAGATGCCGTAGCGACCTTGCGCGGCGGCTTACGCGGGCAACCAGCGCGGCGCGCTGCATCGGAAGCGAGGGCGCCCACGTGCGGTCTCACTCAGAAGCCGCCCCCACTGTACTCCAGATTTCGTAATAAAGGGAGGGGGGTCTCATTTCGGGGGGGGCTTCCAGGCTATCTTGGAGGGCCTGGGGGGGTCTGGGGACGACGTTTTGGAGGGTTCTCCCACGGGGGGGGGTCTGAAATGGCTTGTCTTGGAGGGTCCAGACCCCCTCCCTTTTATTACGAAATCTGGAGTACGCGGGCACCTTGCGCGCCAGTGTCGGTGACGACGGCCCCGTTGTTCCAGCGTCGCCAGCGCGCGAGAGCAAGCGACTGCGGGCCGCCGTCCCCTGCGGCAGCGGGGGCCCCGCGGGGCCTCCGGAAATTCCAGGCCCCGCGGGCTGCCCCCGACGTGCGACGTGCCCAAAAAGCGAAGGAGCGCGATCCGCCGTGGCCGGCAGGGACAATGTCTAGAAAGGGGACAAGAAACCATGCCCCCCTCCCCCCTCCTCCTCCTCCTCCTCCTCCTCCTCATTATCCTCCTGCTCCTCCTCCTCCTGCTCCTCTCCTCCTCGCTCTCGTCCTCCTCCTCTCTCCTCCTCCTCCTCTCCTCCTCCTCTCCTCCTCCTCCTCTCTCCTACCTCCTCCTCCTCCTCCGTCCTCCTCCTCCTCCTCCTCACTCCTCCTCCTCCTCTCCTCCTCCTCCTCCTCCTCCTCCCCTCCGCTCCTCCCCCCCCCCCTCCTCTCATCATTCTCCTCCTCTCCTCCTCCTCCTCCTCCTTCCCTCCTCCTCCTCCTCCTCCTCCCTCTCCTCCTCCTCCTCCTCCTCCCATCCTCCTCTCCTCTTCCTTGTCCTAGCTCCCATGCTCCCTACCGCATCCTCCTCCTCATCCTCTCCTCCTCGGGCTCCGCCTCCGCCCTCAGCCTCCTCCTCCGCCTCCTCCGCCTCATCAGCATCCTCTTCCTCCTCCGCCTCATATTCCTCCTCCTCATCCTCCTCCTCCTCCTCCTCCTCCTCCTCCTCCTCATCATCATCATCATCATCATCATCATCATCATCATCATCATCATCATCATCATCATCATCATCATCATCCTC